GTACACAGTTGTTCACTGAGATAGAACAAGTGCCTATCTCGGCACAAATATGAATGTAGAAATGTTGAAGAATGACTTAAGTTTGAATTAGTTGATCTTTGCCAACAGGGTGTGGATGTGGGTTTGGTTATTCCCTTATCCAGCCATACCCACAGTCACATGCACACCCACACCCCAAGAAATGATTGATTTCATAGAATATATTATTTAGGGCGATGACTGCTTATAGGGTGTGGGTGTGGATTCAATAAAGATAACACACACCTACACCCGCACCCACACTCTGATTATGTGAATAGTAGTGAATTTTATGATCCATCGACCGAAGCTTGAACAATGACAAGTACTATGTACAATGAACGGTATTACCATACAGCATCCATATTAATAAATGGGAATGTGTTAATTATAGGCAGGTTTTTCTTTATGTCTCTGAATAGTTCAGAATTATATTAATTATTTCTGATCAATGAAAGACCAACAATCTTATGCTTATACGAAAATCCGATATCGTCTTATAACATTATTTTGATAAATACACTCTAGATTTTTTATGTTAATGATGACTTCCTGTGATGCTTTTCTTGGACTGTGACTGAGTGCTGAGAAAAGATACAATAATCATCAATAGTCGAATAGTATGAGACATTCAAATATTAAAAAGTTCGCATTGGAAAAGAACGAGAGTGTTTAAACAAAACGTATCAAACTTAACACACAAATCAGATGAGAAAAAATACCTGATTTTGCTAGCCTGTTTGAATGCTGTTTGCGCCATATTTGTTGAGTTATCTTCTTTGACAATAGTGATCTTTATTAGAGTAGATACGAATTTCTGATTATCAACAACCTAAATTTTCTACATTGATTTTCAAACATTTCGAGTCGCTCCCTCTTAGAAATTTTAGTTTTATGAAGTCAAAATCATGAAATATTTTATTAGAAAAAAAAACTGACATTCAAAACTTGTGAAGCTCAGTCGGTAAAATGGCACAAATTACATAGCAACGATTCCGCCATACGTAGCCAAAACAAATACATTATCGTTGTTTTGAGCTACAGCTAAGTACACATGCGATAAATGCGTGTAATCAAGAAATGAAAACTGATCAATGTTGACAGCAGGATACGAAGTGTGATATGCAGCATGGTTGAATCCTTTCGTTTCTTTTGCCAACGGTTCAATATTCACACGATAATATGAAATCAGACTTTCACCTAAATCTGAATCTTGTAATGTTTTAAGACAGTCGTGTAAAAGAGAATCGGAATCCTCATAAGGTAGTTTTCCATTGGGCAAACGTTCAACGGTCAAGTGATGTGTGTCAAAATCGAAAATTAGATGATTGTAATAGCGAATTAAATTACGTACTTTGCTCAATCGACATTTCGAACGTGGGCAAACACGAACTATATCAATGAAATGGTCCTTGGCAGATACCATTCGAAATAGACCTGTGCCTGAGTCTTGTTTCATCAAATATTCACAATAACTTAGGGCTGGATCTTTTAAATGTCTTAAATCACTTGAATCAATATCAAGATCAACAAGTTTATTCTTGTTATCGAACAAAGCATGCTGCCGTTCGTATGTTTCAATCAATGATTTATCTAATTCATTGTCATCGTCCGTTCCAGAATCTTCATCTTCTTCTATATCAAAGATGTCTTTCGAAGTAGAACATCTATCTCTCATCTGAAAATGAAAACGTGATAAAAGATTTTGTCCAATAAATTGCGATTGATGTCGATTTGTAAAATAAGCTCGATCAACACTATGATCAAGGTCAACAGTTGGTTCGCGTTTCAATTTGTCTTTTTGTTCTACGCGGTAGAGAGAACCGTAACAGTTTCTATTGTAGAATGCATCTGCCAAAACTCTTTCCATCTGTACTTCAGACACTTCGTGGGTATTTCTATCATATCGAACAGTGTAAGTTGTGGAATCTCTTCCATGTCCCAATAAGAAAAAAGCATAAACAGCCGCCACTCGACAGCATCCATCGATATGACGATAGAAAAAGTTCGAATCAGCAAAAGAAAATAACGTTCGACTGCCATATTGAGTATGGATTGTTGGAAGATATTTTGGCCGAGATGGATCGGTAACAAAAGCTTTTGTTTCTTGACCTTCCCAAACAATCTTCAACAGTTGAAATTGTGGAAAGGCAAATATCAACTGTTGAATATCTTGTTCATGCAAAAGTTTCAAAATTCGAAGCCACAGTTCTGGTGGAAGTTGATCAATCAATGACTTTCTTTGATCTTCATTAACAATCGAGTGCTTTAATTTCGATTGAAGTAAACGAGGATAGCAATATCGAATTGACAGTGAACGTTCATACAATTCTCCAGTGACAACGCTTTTCTCCAATACACCGAGAGTTTCTAAAGTTGTCAATTCTATCTGCTGTGCTTCACGAAAAAAGTTCAGACAGGCGAAATAATCTTCTTTCTCTTCTGGACAAATCGTAAATCCTAGTGGTTTATCTTTTCGCTTGACCAATACGTCAGTTCTTAACACTAGACGCTCTGTTTGATGAATAGATTTCGGCATTTCAGGTGGCGCTGCTTCATGCAAAAGATGATGTGTGAAAAGCACACCAAAACCTTTCTTCGGTTTTAATGCTATACACTCAAAACTATTTTCCAAGCTACCATAAGATTGGATTTCTTCTGCAATTGTCAATCCTTTCACATCAAAATTTGGTGCTTGTTTAGGAAAATAGAACTTCGTTTCACCTTTTTCATAATCGTCATTTAAATAAATCAATAAACTCAGTAACGATCGTTCATCACCATTAGGTGCATATTGAGCGTCTTTGTGCGGTGCAAAATATTCTCCATGTTTATATTTATTTAATCGCATTGCTGGATTTACACCACTCATTATCCATTGACCTTGCACATTAAAACCCAGTGGTGTTGGATTTTGAACTAGTTTTGGTAATTTATTACCAAATTTCAAACGTCGCCAAAGTGTTCGAGCCAATCGATCGTCTATGACAATTAATCGGGAACTATTTCGTTGCTGAGTTTCATATTTCTCGGACATATCTTCAAAGGTTTCTTGACTGACATTACTCAGAATTTCATCGCATTCATCTGAAGTGAGCAGAGTTCCTAATTCAATTAAAATCAAATCGTCTTGACATTTGACTTTGTTTAATTTAATTCCATTAGGAACTTTGGTTGGTACATTATAGTTTGATAACAGTGAAGCAACAATAGTCAAATCAGTAGTTCCCAAAAATTTATTTCGGTTCATACTTTGTACTAGAAAAAGAACAGCTAGTTATGTACGTTTAAACAATAATTTTGCTTTATTTTATAGTCAAGCTGTGTTAATATGAGTGTGGGTCAGGGTACTGATCTCTTCTCTAACCTCATCCACATCCACACCATCAGACTTATTTCTCTTTTACATATTTTCTGGTCTATGGTCAATACATTCAGAAGCTTTTTAAAAAGTTTAAATATTGAGAAATTAAAAAAAAATATTATCTCTGAAATTCTCTGACTAAGAACGAATTTTTTTAAAACTTGATCCAAGAGTTTATAAACTCTAATGGAAGCACTCTTGATATCAAACTCAAAGAAATCTCATTTTAACATTTCTAACGTGTCAGAAATTGAAAAAGTTATCGTATCAGTTTTGCAGATAGCAAGGAAGCTTATCGGCAAATTACCACCAATAATTTATCTAATGGGTAGTCTGGGTGAGCCCACCCATCCAAAATTTTGATTCGATAACTCGGAGAATAAAAGCTACATAAAACAATGATTATTGCTGAATAGTTAGATAAAATTTTCGAACTCACATTCTTCTCTCTAGATCCACACGCACAGTTATCTCTATCCAAAGCAAAAAAGTTTTCAGAAAGGGTCACAACTTACCATAATCTCCTTTTTTGCTTGTCAATGATTCATTAGAAGTCGACTTCTTCAATCGCTTGATAATCTTTCGAGGCATGTTATTCGTTCCAAGTCAATGCCAAAAATACGAAAAACTCAATTATTTAAGCCTTCTTTATATGGCATGTTATTGCAACACTGTAAAGAAATTTGCCATGAATCAGTGTTCTTTTCAATGCAAGAATGAATCATATTGTTTTTTTTTATTTTGTTCGTTCTCTAGTTAATATTTTGACAGTTATGTCTACACTACAAAATCAAGGTGTATTATGAAACTTTGAAAGTTTTTCATTGTTCAATCGAACAACTTAAGGCTAAGTGCATTAAAAATGCTTTTGTGGCTTGCATTCAGAATTTTTTAAATTTTGTGATTTCATAGAGTTTCGCAGTTGTCCAACAAAGCTCTTTGCGAGTTCAGCGTATCTGTTTCTGATTTCATGCATCGTGCATTGAGTGTGGACTTGGGTGTGGATGGGTGAGGGTG